CGTACAGCACGTGCACGTGTGCCCAGCAATTGCAAGTAGTCAAGTTACCGGTCAGTTGTTGCTCTCAGACTAGTGTTCTTACATTTTACCAATGTCCAAGACTAGGTCCGAGCTCTATGCGACTACTATGGTCGCCAACCCCAACGGTTGCTCTGATTTTCGAGGGGTTGCCAACATCGTGATGACCGCCGTGGGTGTCGGTGTATTGGCCTTACCTAACGCTGTGGCCTTCGGTGGTTGGGTTGCTGCTCCCCTACTACTACTGTTGGCCTGGGTCCTCACCCACTACCAAATGTGTCTACTCTGGAAATGCCTTTTCATGAACCCTTCGAGGAAGCCAATGGAGTCCTATGAGGAAATCGGGAGAGTTTGTTTTGGCCGAGTCGGGCAAGTGGCAGTCGCCCTATGCCTCTACGGTGGCATTTTCTCTATCTGCGCCCTTATCATGATTTTACTAGGCAGTTCCCTCCACAACTTGGTGCCCTCGCTGAGCCGATCACTATGGATTGTTATTACTGTGGCATTGATGTTACCCTTTGCATGGTTACCTAGTCTTAAACGTGTTGGAATTATTGCGGCTATAGGTGTTGGCGCTACTGCAGTTGTCGCTGTATCGGTGATTATCGCGGGTGCTCGTGAGGCTGTCAGCTCTGACCACGTCCACGTGCTGGGTCCGCAAGGTGTAGGTGGTCTGGGTTTATCATTCACCAACTTCATGAATAGTTTTACATGTGCGCCGGTGATACCAAGCTTAGTGGTCGAGATGAAGAACCCTGTCACGTTTCCGAGAGTTGCCCTCTGGTCGTTTTTAACGATTACAGTCGTATTTGGGAGCATTGGTTTTGCTGGTTACGCGGGCTGGGGGATCGACATGCTCAAGTTCGATCTGATCGTTGACGCTGTTGCCTCGTCGGCTGGTCGCGGCGATTGGGTAAATTACATAGTTCAAATATCAATTCTGGTAGTGTCATTTACGCATTTGTTGGGTTTTATTCGCGCCTTTGGGCAAAGCTAACGATCGTATA